GCCTTGGCCTTTCTAATACGTGCGGCCGTTGTGATCCGCTGTGATAGCGACGGTTTTTGCGGTGGTAGGGATTTTACGAGGAGTTTTGCCCGGACGCCGGGTTTCCCCTCCATATATTACCATGTTGGTATTTTCTCATGTATCCAGGGGCGTTCTTGCCCCATTGATGGTTTGTCACTTGCGTGAAGAACCAGGGATGGTGCTCGTGGGTCTGCGAATATTGGTGTTGGATACATGTGCTGGATGATTTGGTGTCACGCAGACTGGTAAGATTGCCGTTTGGTAGGGGGCACCGCGATGATTCACGGAGCCCCTCCTTGCTGTGGGAGCCGCTCTTTGAGCACTCCCTCTTTCGTCCGTGTGAAGATGTTCGTCGACCTCTCGTGAAGTTACTACATGACCAAAACAGTCTCACCCGACAAGTAATTGACGTAGGCCGCAAACAGCCGATGGTATCAAATGCATGATGAGGGGACATGCTTCGGCACCAACAACCGACAAGTCGCTCCTAAGACATTTTGTTGCCCGAAGCAGCCTTCAACCTCCTCCACCAGTCGGCAGTTGATAGCAAGGTTGGCATGTGTACGCTTTTTAGTTTGGAAAACAGGCCAATCCAAGATTGCAAAGTCCATTTTGGTTCGGTTTTTCTAGAGGAACGCTTGCACCTCACTCAGCAGGGGCAAAGCTATCGTTTGACCTCACCACCATAAAAAATCTCAGTTCGTCAACACCTTAACACGGGACCGCTGGGCGCCAGTTCATTTTGCGTCTGCTCGACCAAATAGGACTGTCCACGCGTTCCCTGGTTTCGTTCGTGGTTTCCTGAGTGTTCATTCAACTGTGTGTGTGTGTGTTTTCGTCCTATTTATTTTGGCGACAATCCCCCCATTTTTCGTGGTGAGACGTGTACTACACTTTTCAGCGTATGTAGAGTACTACACTTTTCAGTGTATTTTTTCGTACAACTACAACCATCCAGGGCCACACAGGAGGGGATAAACACCAGGGCTTTTTTCTTCTCTTTATTTCTTTCAATACCCCACCTTCCTCCTGCGGTGCGTGCTGAATTTCATTTTTATCGCGAGAAGGGTCCAGCCGTCCCTTGCCCTCGTCAACGGTGCCAACGCGAAGTTTGGTACTCACGAGAGCTTATCAGCTATATTTTGCTTTCACCCGCACATTTCGTACATTTTTCACGCCATGGGGATTCGGCCTCACGACCTCTGCGACTAGCGGTTTACGAGGATACCACTAGACCACCGGGGCGACCTGTCGACGGTCGTTGTTGGAACAGTGTTCCCATCGCTTCTCGCGGGCCGCCGCAAGCTCCTCTCCTGTCGAATCGCTACACCAACACATCATCAAGAACGAGGTATTGGAGCAGGTCACCGAGACATGATGCTTTCATGCTCTGCAGAGAGTTCCCACAAGCCAGGATTCATTCCTGGCACCGAGCGCCGGTCAGCCGGCTGTCGGTGTATTTGCCCCCGCGGAAGCGTTGCATCATACGACAGGGGCATTCACGTACCGGTGTGGAGCAAACGCATCATGAGAAGTCGAGCAGATCGTCACATTGAACGTGGGGAATATGCGATGCGTCAATCGTTCGAGACCAGACGATACGCAGGGAATGTGGGAACGATTCACCCGACAGATCGACCCTTCACGTACGGGTGTTGGTGATGTTTGATGAGATCAGGCGACACTCCAACGTAGCTAAAATATACGTTTGATGAGAGCGACAGATGTTTTTTGTAGCTTACAGCTTTGGTGAGTCAACTTCGGTGAGTCAACGAACCGGACCGCCCCGCCCCATCTCGTCTGTCGTCCGGAGAGCCTGAGGAGGTCAAGCCACTCTCACGGCATATAAGTGCCGACGGGCTGGCTTGATCCAATTTCATGCGTATTCCAGGTGTGAAATTTAATTGCACGATGGGATCATAAACGGATATGGCCCAAAATTAAACTCGACGACGTCTTGGCTGGCTTGCTTAAACGGGAGGCGAAACTGACAGTTCCGCCAGTTGTCCGGTTGTCGGTTGAACGATGCTTTCGTACCACGGAACATGCTGATTGATGATCGGTTCAACCATCTGTTTTACGACCGAAGGTCCAGCCTCTCTTCTCGACCCCTTACCTTCCCCGACCTCTCACAAAACAGACCCACAACTACATCGCAACCCCAAAACGCATCACCATCCCGCACCAGAAAACTCAAGTGGAACATTACGGCAACGACGAAGGCGAGGCAGGTGGTACACGGGACACAATGACTAATGAACAATGAATTTGCTTCAGGGGTGTGCCCGTGGTTCGGTAGTCAGCTAGAGGTTGACAGCGGTACAATCAATCGACACCAGAACTCTCCCAATTTTCTCGCCGAAGGAAGTGAGTGAGGAGGGTATGCTGTTTCCTAGCTGACGAACCGCAACAGAATCTTCTTGACCCAGGCGTTGAAATGAGCACCACTCAACTCATGAGACACATGCCGATCGTTGCACGTACACGCTGGAGCACTAATTTCGGCTGAATCAGGGGCTGAACGTTGGCTTGCGTATTCTAGCTCGACAGACCATAGAGCGAACGACGTTGACTATTTATTCCAAATGTGCGACAGACGAACGTTTGCCGTGCATTTTCCGTACCTCCCCCCGCGTCTTTCTCACCTCGCTCCTCGTCTCGGCGTTGAATGGCAGTCCTTGATTCTTGCGAGACCGGATCGGACAAGATCGGGCGGGGCTTTCCTTGACGTTGTGCTTGGCCCGCGTGGTAGTGCACCTACTTTTCACTGCGGTTACTTCATGATTTTCTGTCAAGAGGAGGATAAAGATGTCACCACAGCAGAAGAGAGCTAGCACTACTACGGTTCGTAGTATGAAATTGCCACCTTTGATCAACAAGGAGCACCGATGCAGAGTCCCCCGATCCCCAAGACTAAGAGGCTGATCGCCGACCCCGTGCACTTCCCACCCGGTTTCGTTCAATGCGATCTGTACCACAGCAGTGCTTACTGCTTAGGAGGATAATGGCGAATACCTCTGATGTTGGCGCTTCACCTCTGGTGCCCGAGATGGACCCCCCGTCCCAGGCCAGGCGAGACTAAGCATTATTGAGTTTAGATTACTGTACTACTGTAGCACAGCGCAACAGTCACAGGATCAGACAAAATACTTGTTGTGCAGTGTACAGTAGTCCAACCCCCCCCCCCCCCCCCCC